CTTCACAATGCTTTTTCAGCATGTCTGATGGGGGGGGGGGGTAAACTCTAAATAATAGTGGTGAATCTTTTATTGAAACAATGAATCTAATCAAAGCAGATAGAGTGTTAACTAGAATTCATCTGCCTCACAGGGACGGGGAGGGGTGGGGGATGGGGTTTTATTGGGGTTCTTCATGGTAAAAAATAAGTATTGGTAAAGGGAAATGTGTTTGATATTTGCATGACTGAGACATAAACCTGAAAGCTTTGTAACCTTTCCCACAGTGATTCAATAAATAAATAAATAAATAAATAAATAAAAAAGTGTGTGAGTTCTATGGACCAGAGAGAGAGTGCAGCTAGGAAGGCTTTTGCTTTGCAGGTGGTCTACTGCAGGTACTCCATGTGATGCCCTGAGCCTACCAGGAGTGATCCTTGAGTACAGAACCATGAGTAAGCCCTAAGTACAGCCAGTGTGGCATGAAAAAACAAGAATTAAATAAATCTTTAAAAAGTGTGCAAAAAATGAATAAAATATACTTAAATTTTAATCTTAAGAGGAAAAATAAAAAACTGCCACTATTTGTGTTTCACTACACCTCACAAGTGCCACCTTTTGGGAAAGTACTAGAGATAAACCTGTAGATCACATGAAAATAATGCCCTCCAGACTCTTGAGATAATTTCCGCAATCCCATAACTAGCACGATTACAGTGAGCAATTGGAAAAGTCCAGAGTTTCAAATTAGAGCTAACCCCTCTCCCTTGTCTCCTATCTAAAATCCAACTCACTGGCTTCCTTAGCAAGAATACAATCATAGACTCATTTTTGTTAGAAGCATTTCCTGATTGAAAAATCGATGGTGTATTTCCAGCAGTCCTCTCCTACTCTTGCCAGTTTCCTGCTACTTAATATTCCTCCCCCGACCCTCCCTTTCTCTAATGAAGTCTCACCAAACTAGGCCACTGGGATAGTGGAACCAGCCTATATTTTAAAATCTGAATTGAGTTGATTTGTTTATATCAGTCACCAGTTTATTACCTCCATGTTATCTGGGCAAAGATTCAGTTTCAGTTTTGTTGATTTTCTTAATTATTTCTTTGCTGGTAATGGTTTTCTTTGGGGGGAAGGCTGTAAATCCAAACTCTTGCCTGCACAGGCAAGGCAAATTCTGCTACAGCTGCTACATCCCAAGCCCTCCACTCATTTCTGATTTTCAATTTTACTGATTCTACTACAATTTTGATTTTCTTCTTCTACTTTTAGGTTTTATCTGCTCTTATCTTTAGTTTCCTTTATTTAAAAAAATTGTTTGGGAATGCACAACAGTGCTCAGGTGCTACTCCTGAGTCAGTGCTCAGAGGTCGTTACTGATTTTGCTGGGGAACCTTATGCAGTGTTAGAAATCAAACAGAGACCTCCTACTTACATAGTATGCACTCTAGTCCATAAAGCTATCTCTTCAGCCCCTTGTTTCCCCCATGTTTTTCACTCCATAAGGGAGGATCTTATATTATTAAATCCAGAACTCTTATCCTTTTGCACATTTAATACTTCCAATTTTCTTGTCTTTTTCTTATTTTTTTTTCTTTTTGGATCAGACTCAGTGATGCTCAGAGGTTACTCCTGGCTCATGCACTCAGGAATTACTCCTAGCAGCGCTTGGGGAATCATGTGGAATACCGAGGATTGAACCCAGATTGGCCATCTGCTAAGCAAACACCCTCCCCACTGTACTATAACTCCGGCCCCTTTAATTTTTTTTAGAATACTGTGTCCTCCTAATACCCAAGGACAATAGAAATGAGGACTAAGAGGACTGGTTCATAGTTGGAAACTTTCCGCAGATTAGGAGTAGGTGCGGGTGGATAGAGAAGTGATCACTGTGACAATGATAGCTGGAAATTCCAACACTCTGAACAAGAACTGAGTGCTGAAAGGAAAAAAGAATGCAGGAGTGATAGGGAGAGAGAGAGAGAGAGAAAGAGAGAGAGACAGAGACAGAGACAGAGACAGGACAAAGAAAATGAGAGAGACCTATAGAGAAAAAGAAAAGTGTCTGCCATTGAGGAAAGTTGGATGGGAAAGAGGGTGGTGTGAGGGAAACTAGGTAGTGGGAAATGTACACTGGTGAAAGGACGGGTGTTGGAACACTGTATGTCTGAAACCCAATCATGAACAAATTTGTAACTTGTGTCCTCCTGTTGTTCATTGATTTTGCTCAAGTGGGCCCAGTAACATCTCCATATTTTTGAGACCTGTTGTTACAGTGTTTGGCATATTGAATACATCACGGGTAGCTTGCCAGGCTTTGCTGCTTGCCAGGCTTTGCGGCATGCGGGCGAGATACTCTCGGCAGCTTGTCGGGCTCTCCGAGAAGGGCGGAGGAATAGAACCCGGGTCGGCCAGTCTGGCTGTGAGCATGGCAAATGCCCTACCACTGTGTATCTTGTGATGATTCAATAAATATATTAATTAGTTAATTGGATTTCCATATATATCACGTAGGATACTCTGGGAGTTGACGCTAAAAAATGAATAGTGGGAATGTGAGAGAATATAAATTTTAGAAACATATGAGTATAATAAAATTATAAAATAATAAAAAAATTAAAAAATAACCTGTGTCCTTTTTGGAAATTTCATTTTCATTTTAAAAGTACTTAAAGATTTCCAGATACAGGGACTGGCGACATGGTACATGAAGGAAGGTTTCATACTCAATGGATTTGAATCCCCAGCACTACAAATGGTCACCCAAGTACCTCCGGATGTCGCTACAAAACTAGGGCTATTAAGCACTACCCTCTTTCCCAAATAGTTTTCTGGAATATCCGACCCATGGGTTGTTTAGAAGTATATAATTTTAAAATATTTACGGATTCAAAAAAAATTTACAGATTCTACAATATTGTTCTTTTGTTGATTTCTATTTTTAATTCCACAAGGTATATGAATATTATTTACATGGCATCTATCTATGCCACAGTGATTCCATAAGATATTTTAAAAAAATAACAACAACAAAAGAACTGAAAAGGAAAGAAAGCAAAAGGGAATGCCCTGCCACAGAGGCAGTGTAGGGTAGAAGGGATGGGGTGGGGGTCGTGGGAGGGATGCTGAGACCATTGGTGGTGGAAAACAGGCACTGGTGGAGGGATGGGTACTCAGTCAGTGTATGACTGAAACGCAAACACAGAAGTTTGTAAGTCTATAACTGTACCTCCCGGTGATTCACTAATTAAAAAAAAAAGAAGAAGAACTGATCCCTGACATGAGGCCTGCTTGGGCCCCTCCATATTGGCCTTGATAGAGGTGAATTCCGAGTATGGAGGCCTAGAGACACTGCAGGTGCCATCACAATTCATGGTATGGAGGTCCTGGTGGTCCTGGATGTAGTGGGTAGTGCAGCCCAGCTTCCTCTGGACACGGGATTCTCTGAGTTCATCTGGACTTCTGTCAGAACATGTCCTCTTTTACATTGTAAAGGGGGGTAAATGGGTTTCTGGCTGGAAAGGATTTGCCCCCAACCCTCCAGTGTCTCTAGACCAATACCTGCACTCCCCCTCCTTTTTCCCACGCCAGAGGGACCATGTTAACCTTCTTCAAGTATCAATTGATGGCCTTATCTGAGATCCAGCCTCCAATAATAGAAAACTAGGAGCTATTAGAAAAGGGGTTAAACTGCGGTTATGGAGTGTGGGCATTCCAGCAAAGGCCTTAATGGTTACTACCCCAACCCCAGTTGTCATCCATCTAAGCAAAACTTGTGGAAACTTTCCAGCACTGCCTCCTTAGCAGCCATGGAAGCTGCACCTTCTAGCCCTTAGGCTATTCCCAATTCTCCCTACCAGTTGTGAAAGTTGCCAGCTCCCTCCCTCAGTCTGAGGCAAAAGTGGAAATGGTAAGTATCACTGTCTTGGGTTTACAATTATCCATCTTTATTGTAACCAGCTGTCTGGATACTAATAGACTCCTTCTGGACATATTGCCAGGCCAGATGTGCCAGGTGTGGAGTTCAGTGTGAGGCTTGGCAAACATGGGTGATGTTGTATCGGCTTATAGGACCTCTTTGCCCTGGGGGGAGGTACATCTGGTTGTACTCAGGGGTCACTCCTGGCAGGACTCAGGGAACCATATGGAGTGCCAAGGATCAAACCTGAGTTGTCCATATGCAACACAGGAGTCCTACCTGCTCTGGCCCCCTAATCTGTCTTTATGCCTTTGGGAGAATCAGGCCTGGTCTCTATCCCAGCATCCAATCTCCCAACCCCCACCAGCAGTGATACCTGAGCACAGAGCATGAAGGAAGCCCTGAGCACTGCCAGGTATGGTTCCCAAATGTAAAAGGAACAGAGGAAAGGTTAAGTAAAAGTAAAGTAAAGGCCCTCCCGTTGATCATCGATTTGCTCGAGCGGGCCCAGTAACGTCTCCATTGGAGACTTTGTTGTTACTGTGTCTGGCATATCGAATACTCTCAGTAGCTTGCTGGGCTCTCCGAGAGAGGCGGAGGAATCGAACTCGGGTCGGCCATGTTGGCTGTGTGCAAGACAAACGCCCTACCCACTGTGCTAGGTATCAGTAGATAACAGTAGATATCACACACGTACACACACACACACACACACACACACACTCACACACACACTCAAACAGAATGTGTATATGCATTTACCAACTTGAGACTGAGGAAGACACACAGTGTATTACTGAAAATTGAGGTAACCTTGATAAAAATTAAAATTCATGGCCTCTAGAGCATACGCACTGTCCACTACTGAAAAAAAGTTTCAAATGACAAGTCTTACAATAGTTTCTTTTTTAAGCAAGATAGCTTTTATTGAATGAAACTTGCTTAGAAAGAGGTGAGAGGAGAGAAAGAGGGGAAATGTGCTCGAGAGAGAACACAAGCTGCTCCAGAGTGGAAGAAGCAAGCAAAGAGACACACAAGCAAGCAAGCAGGATACTTGTTCAAGGGAGAACATGGGCTTGAAGAGCAAGCCTACAAATCATTTTTATTATTCAGAATCTCTTGCTGGACATATCCTCAGAGGTTGGGGGTCAGTTCCAGTATAGAAATAAGGCCAAACTGCATCCAGAAAACAAACTTTAAAGGTATACAGATGAGATTTGTCACTCAAATTGTAAAAGGAAACTTCACCCAAATCACAGTCTAAAAAAATACCAATCTTTGTAGGCATTACGACTGGGAAGAGATCGATTTTTTGAGTCCCCAACGCAACATAATCATCCACATCCCATCGTCCAACACCCCATAATCCATCTTGTACTGAAAAAGCTTGATTCGGTGCTTGATTCCTCCCGAGAAAAGTCTCTTTACAGACACCCACGATCCATCCAACTTTGTCCTTCACTTCCACCTGCCAGTAGTGCCTGCCAGCATTATAACCCTTGGAACCCAGAACAGCTGGGAAGAGGTAGAATCTCCATGGGCTATGAGTTGACTTTTGCCGTGTTCTTCCATATCGAACCGTTTTCCTATCTTCTGAGACAGTCAGATCATGATGTGCTGTTTCTGGATCTAGAAACACATCTACCTCAAATCGCTCGATGATTCTGTTTAGACCAGAATACTGGGGTGGCAAATGGTAACTGTATTCCTTTAACTGGAGTGAAAAAGGCTCAGGGGACTTTAAGTTTTGATAGGCATGATAGATCCAGTTAATGTCTGTCAGTAATGCCAGGGCTGATTTGCTCTTTATGCCCTGTAACAGACGTTTTAATGTCGAGGTATACTCGGAACACTGTGTTCGGGTTTCACGCAGTTTGGTCTCAAAAGCCATTTCCTCCTCTTCTAACTGCTGAAGAAGAGTTTCTCGCTCATTTTGAAGACAGAATTTAAGCCGCTCACATTCAGACTCTATTTCGTCTCTTGCATGTTCTACCTGTTTTTTCAACTCCAAGGCTCTTCTGGTTTGTATAATCCTGACTTTTTCTAGTCGTCTCACTTTTTTCTTCCATGACTCAATGCACTGCTCCAATCTTTTCTTATAATAGGGAGCAGCCCTCTCGACAGGCCAGATGTGATGTTTCTTGTGGTCGGGGGAGAAGCTGCACTGTGAGCATAAAACCTCCAGGTCTTGCTGACAGAAAAAGGCCAACACTAGATTATGCTTTTTACAAACAACCTTTTCTTTCTGCTTCCTCCTCTTGCTTCTTCTTTTCTGGAGCAGCTTAGCAGCTTCAGTCAAATTACCCAGTTGGGTGTTCCTCCTGAATTTCTTTCCTGGAAAGCACATTCGACAAATAGGGCAGGGAAAAATATCCTTTAGGTCCTCCCAGAACTTGTTGATGCAAGAGAAACAGAAGTTGTGGCCACAGTTAATGGTCACTGGGTTCTTCAAGTAGTCGTTACAGAGGAAACAGCTAGCTCCTGCCTGGAGGTCTTCCAGGGCTGTCTCCATCTCCACTGAAATAAAGACCAAAGTGGGAAGGTGGTATGACCTTTTGCTCTCTAGAAGACAAAACCCAGTGAACAGTGAATATCCTCCTATAGATATCGCGAAATGACCAGTTTTCAGTTTCACTGGCTTGACATGTTAATGGCAGCCTCTACACATCTGTTTATCCTTTAGCCCGTTACCTTTAGAACGTTTGTTGTCAAAAATACTCCCACAGGCTATATATAGTCGATCGAATACTGGACTGTGTCAGCTGAGCTGCTGGCCTTAGCACTGGATGATGTGAATGATGGCTTTCTTATTCAGGAAAATAGCCTCAAGTCCAAGACTAAATCCTCCTAAATCCTCCTAAAGAGTGAGAAAAACATTATGTTAAAATACCGTTCAATAAGTACTGAAGTATTAAAATGTTCACATAAGAATCGAATACAAACACTAAGATTGTTGAGCAGAAATTCTTTTTAAAAATACATAAGATATTCATGATTGTAGCAATTCACTTCACATATTTTTATAGTTTGAGGGTCACAATTTGTGGTGTGGAGTCAGAGAGACAATACAGTGAGTAGGGTGCTTGCCTTGTATGCAGCAAACCTGACCAGATCCTATCTCCAGCATCCCATAGGGTCCCCAGAGCCCTACGAGAAATGATGCCTGAGCACAGAACTAGGAGTCAGCCCCAAAGACTTCCAGGTGTGGTCCAAAACCATGCAAAATTAGAAAAACAAAAAAGAAAACCCAAACAATTGGTGGTGCTCTGAAGGTCATACCCACCCTGGGGTCAGCCTCTCTGCCCACTGTACTATCACCTCCTGCACTTTCTCTGCCTAGGATCTAGGGATGGACAGTGCAGGACTCCTAGCTGTGCTGGGGCTGGGAGAACCCTGAACACCAGGTCTATGTGGGTCTGACAGTTCTGAGCTCGCCTAGTACCACCAGTGCAGATCATTTGGGTCCAGCTCCTGACATAGTCCACTCACCCCGCCCTTAGAATATCTAGCTGTTGGTCCCTCCTACGCTGTATGGAAGAGCCGGCTTGCAGAACTCGGAAAATGAGCATTTTTGATAAAATGTAAACTTAAATAAAGGTAAAGGTAAAGGCCCTCCCGTTGATCCTCGATTTGCTCGAGCGGGCCCAGTAACGTCTCCATTGGAGACTTTGTTGTTACTGTGTCTGGCATATCGAATACTCTCGGTAGCTTGCCGGGCTCTCCGAGAGGGGCGGAGGAATCGAACTCGGGTCGGCCATGTTGGCCGCTTGTAAGGCGAACGCCCTACCCGCTGTGCTATCGCTCCAGCCTTAAACTTAAATATTTTCTGTAAATTTAACACACCGAGACCTTTTTTAACCTCACACAACTGTCCATCTAATGCGCGGAGCCTGCGATGTGACTTTGCCCTTATTACAATATTTTGGTGGGACCTTCCAATACCTATAATAGATTGTCAAATGCCTGAAGTGGAAATGGCCTCCAGCTTGCTTATTTTTTTTCACCCGGGCAAATGATTAAAAAGCATTTCAGCAAAGAATTAAGGAAAGAAAGAGAGCCTGGGGTAGAGAACTTACACCCCAAAGGACCCACCACAGACTGCTCATCTATCAAGCTGAAACCATCACTCAGATTTTTGTGAGCATTAATAATAGCATAAACTGACACTGGACATAGCCAACAAGCGAGACTGGGGGGAGGGGTATCTCAAAGGTCCACATGGGGGCTACTTCGTGTGCCACACTCTTCCTTCTTACCTATCACCACAGGCCCATGCCCTATCTCCTACCCCCACCCCCCACCCCTGTCTCCCGCCCCGCCTCCCCGCCCCGCCACCCTGCCTCATTGAGTCTAATCTTTTCAAGCCCATGTGTACCAATATCTCCAGACTGTCTTGTTTTGGGGACACATCCTGCTGTGTCCAGGGCTTACTCTTGACCATATAATCAGAGATGGGAGACCATAAGAGGTTCGGGGTATAGAACCCATGTTGACTGTGTGCTCTGTTCACTGATAGTACTCAGTTCACTGTACTATTACTCCAGACATGGGCTCACATTGGCTCTCTCTTCATCCTTAACACGCCTACCCTCAGATCTGTCCAACTCAAAATCATGTTCCAGTTTGCACCTCTACCATCTCTTCAAGAGACCTCACTAAGACTGAGTTTCGTTTCAATAACAACTCCCCACATTCTGGATCAGATCAAAATCTTGCTTAATTAAGGTACCCAGCATCCCGACCTAATGCTCCCAAGAGCCACCCCAGACACAAGAGACCCAGCGGGATCAACGTGAAGCTAGCTCCAGCACACCCAAGAACACTCACCACAGTGGACCTGCAAGAAGGGTCGGTGCAGCCCCTGTCCGGCAAGAAGCAGCAGGAACCTCAGATTCAGGTCCAGAGGTGGATCTGAAATCAAAATCCCAGGAGACTAAATATGCGAGAGCTATAAGCCCATGACACAGTCTGGACCAAGATTGGCTGTAACTCCGGAAAAGGGTGAGTCAATGACCCACCCTAGAGCTATAAGCCCATGACACAGTCTGGACCACGATTGGCTGTAACTCCGGAAAAGGGTGAGTCAATGACCCACCCTACCAGCCAGTGAGGGAGGGAAGAGATCCTGGCACACCTAGAGGCATTTTCTCCTCTGCTATCATTTTGTTGTTAATTGCATTCAATCTCTTGAGGTGCAGTTTTTAGGTTTCTTCCTATTTTTCAGCCCCGTGAGCAATTTGGGATTAAAAGGAAGGTTGAAGGTTGGGTTGGTCTTTCTCTTCCTTCCTTCCTTCCTTCCTTCCTTCCTTCCTTCCTTCCTTCCTTCCTTCCTTCCTCTGTCTGTGTCTCTCTTTTTTTTTCTGTTTATTTTTTTTGGTTTGTTTTTCTTTGAATCCCCTGAAGGTGAATTTTTCAAAATTACATTGCCACACCCTCATTTCATACACTGAAGGATTACATTTTGGAATGAAAGAGGTACATTTCCAGCAAGGAACTCTTCACATCTTAATAGACAGAACTGCCAGACCCAGTAAATTCTGCCCCGCTCTGGCTCTCTGAAATCTTCTGAGAAACTGTCACAGTAAAATTTTACTTAGTTGAATAAACCAGAGGTTAAAACATCTTTAAGACTCAAGAAATCAGCACAGGTCGAACTTAAAAGTTATTGGTTTGGTTTACATCTCAACGGGGAGGGTCTGGATGTATAAAAGATGAAAAACTCTTTGTTGAGACTGAACAATAGGCAATAATCTTGCTGCCCCAAGAACTTGCAACCTTGAGAATTTCGGTTTAGACTTGTTCTGTTTTGTTTGGGGGTCACACCCCTCTGTGCTTTTTTACCCTCCACTTGCTAGGATAGAACCAAATAGTCTCCCAAATGAAAGCATCTCTGCAGCCCTTTGAGCCACCTCCAGACCCAGGAGTTTTTAATAGGGATAAAAGCCAATGAACAAGATATGATAACCTTTGTGGCTGGAGCAGTAGCATAAAGGTTAGGGCGTTTGACTTGCACGCGGCCGACCCAGATTGGATTCCCAGCATCCCATATGGTCCCCTGAGCACCACCATGGCTAATTCCTGAGTGCAAGCCAGGAGTAGCCCCTGTGCATCGCTGGGTGTGACCCAAAAAGAGAAAAAAAAGATATGATAACCTTGAATTTTGCATGGATGACAGGATACATCAGGAAATAGACCTTTATTGCCATTAAGAGATCTAGGATGAGCGGTTGAACACGAGTGTAAGTGAGCGTACACTCAACTATTAAAGACGTGACTTCCAAAGTAAAATATGGCCATGGCCACATAACAGATTAGTGAAATATCTGACATTTTTCTCAAAATTCAATCTGGAAATCCGAAGATACCCTAATTCAGTCGGGCAACTACCATCTACCATAAAGTAGTGGTCCAAGCTAGGACTACTAGGAAGAGAATCTATGAAACTGAGTCACCAACCTTTCCATTGTGCTCTCTCTGATGGCCCTCCCATTCAAGCATCCTTCCTGTCTCTACTCTCAATAAACTGTTACTTCTTGGCAACTTTTCTTTCTTGTATTCAATTTTTGGTGGGCCTGGAAAATCCAGGATTACTGGACATCTCATTCACACCAAACTTTATGGGCAACAATGTTCTCAAAATAGCTCTTTTGCCTGAAAGGTTACAACAAGAGATTTTTATTTATTTATTTATTTGGGAATTTGGACCACACCAACTGGTGCTCAAAAGAGTGTCACTTCTAGCTTTGTGCTCAGTGTTTGAGGAAGCATGGGGTACCTGTGGTTGAACCTTGACCTCCTGCATGCAAAGCATGTGCTCAACGCTTTGAGCTGTCTTTTCAGATCCTCAAAAGAAAATTGTATTGAAGTGATGCATGCTGAAAGCAGACTATAGCGTGAACACAATGACTGCTCAATACCTCTATTGCAAACTACAACACCCTTGAGGAAAGTGAGCAAAAGGGAATGCCCTACCACAGAGGCAGGGTGGGGTTGGGGGGAGGGGGGTGGGCTACTGGGATCATTGGTGGTGGAGAATGGGCACTGGTGGAAGGATGGGTACTGATCATTGTATAACTGAAACCCAAGCAGGAAAGTTTGTAAGTCTACAGCTGTACCTCATGGTGTTTCACTAATTAAAAAAAAAAAAGAAAGAAAAGTGTGTGTAGGGTTGAGGAGGGTCAATAAAAAAATAGTGTATCAGATAAAATTTCTTGTTTCGAACACCGTCAGCAGAGGTTCAATCTCTATTTACACATAGGGTCCCTCAACACTGCCAGGGAATTACTGAGCACAGCTGGGTGTGGTCCAAAAACCAAAAAGAAAAGGGAACAGGGAGCACAGTTTTAGAAAGGGTGGGTTGCAGGCTGTGTGCCTGGGGTGATCAGTTAATTCTTTAAAGTGATGATTTCCCAAGAGAATTTCTTTTTTAACTTTTTTAAATTGATTGTAAATTACAATATGTTAAAGATGGTTTCTCATGCACATAATTCCGATACAGTGTACCCACCCCCTCCTCCAAAGAACCCCAGCACCCTTCCATTTCAAACCCCCACCAACACTGAACTTTGTGGATTAATTTTTTAGTTGTGTTGCCTTAGGCCCTTTTTTTACCACTTTTCTGTATATCTTTAAGCCCCACACCTGAGATCTATCTGTATCAATTCTTTTTCCCTCTGATTGACTTCACTCAGCATGAAATCCTCTATTTCTATCCATGTTGTTGCAAATTGTATGATTTTGTTCTTTCTTTGAGCTATGTAGTATTCCATTGTGTAAATATACCACAATTTCTTAATCCAGTCATCTGTAGTTGAACATCTGTGTTGTTTCAATATCTTGGCTATTGCATTAAGTGAGGCAATGAACATAGGTGGGCATATATCCGCTCAGAGTAAGGTTTCTGTGTTTTGGGGATAGATGCCAAAAAGTGGCATTGCTGGTAGTTCTATTCTTATTTATTGCATTGACCTCCATTTTTTTCCATAAAGACTAAAACAGGTCACATTCCCACCAACAGTGAATGAAGGGTATTTTCTGACCACAACTCCACCGACATTGGCTTTTGTCAGACTTTCACTGTAATGGCAAAACAGATTTCTGATTATGTTTTACACCCTCTTTTCCTTTAGAACAAGAAAGGAGGTCTTTTTAATATCTGAAACCCTACCTAAAGTGATTCTGTTTTCTAACATTGAACTTACTTCTTAAATTAAGCTTGTGTAGAGGTGGTTTCCAGGTTCATTAGATGTCAAAAAGAATTGCGTTGCTTTTGTTTTTTAATGCTACATATTTTGAAAATTGTTTTGGAAATTTTAAAATGCATTTTATTATAGAAAGTTCTTAATAGTCTGCCCACAATAGTCCCTCAGCATGAAGTTCCCTTTATTTTAAAGACAAAGCAATTTAGTACATCTTGTTTTCAAAAAACTGCCTTGCGATGTTGGGCTGCATCTTCCAAGTCAGTCCAACATGGATGGTGCCCTCAATTTTCATCTTCTAGAAGGAAGCCTTTCCACGACGCAGCAAACTGCAGACTCGAGATGACATTTCCTTTTGCTGTTCTGGACCTCCTTTTACTAATAGTACAACCTAAAAAAATGCAAACACTAACAAAACCTGAACACAGCAGCACAGAACAGCACGTGATCATTCCGAGAACAACCAAGTTCTGAAGTCAAGGCTAAGAGACTTTCCTTGCTTCTGTGGTTCTAGTAGAAAAACCTCTGTATCCTCCCTGTCAAGATATTGTCTGTCATTCATCCCACAGCCTGGAAGAAGTTAAACTTTTTATTATTTTCTGACTCATTTGCATGTTTATATTTTTTGTGTTTCGTTGTTTGGAGGGCCTACCTTATGTGCTCAGGTCCTGACTCTGTGCTCAGAGGTCATTCCTGGCAGGGCTCAGGAGACCATAGAGAGTGCTGGGAATTGAACCTAGGTCAATTGAGTAAAAGGCAAGCACCTACCTGTTGTCCTATTTCTTTGGCCTGACTTTGTTTTATCTTTATTACAGTTCAGGTCCATTGTTTACAATAGTATTAACATTTATTATACAAAGTCACTGTATCCTACCACCCCCAAAATGCCCAAGGTAACTGTCCCTATGTAATTTTTTCTCTTCTCTCTCCTTCAACCATTTAGTAGTCTGAGTTTTGCAATCCAAAGCCAAGGACTTGTTGTTCCTTGATGCTGTATCTAACTTTGTTTTTTCCTTCCTGTATGCCACAGCTGAGTGATGCCATCTGGGAATTCCCTTCTCTCTCTGATTTATTTTGCTTAAGTATCAGTGAGTGGTGGCCGACCCGAGTTCAATTCCTCCACCCCTCTCGGAGAGCCCGGCAAGCTACCGAGAGTATTCGATATGCCAGACACAGTAACAACAAAGTCTCCAATGGAGACGTTACTGGGCCCGCTCGAGCAAATCGACGATCAACGGGAGGGCCTTTACCTTACCTTTACCTATCAGTGAGGGGCTGCTGCAGACTCTGTGCTCAGGGTCACTCATGCTGGTTTAGGGGACTATGCAGTTCCAGGAATTAAAACCAGGCCTCCCACAGGCCACTTCACTCTATTGGTTGACCTCTCTAGCCCTCTGTCTGCAATCTTCATAACCATTTACTCCGTGACCGAGCAAATTCATAGGTTCTGCAATTGGGACATAGACATCACTGGTGTACTATTATTCCATCTACCATGTACAGAAAGGTACTTTTCTTTCTTTCCCCTCGAGATATTTCTAAGTAAGTTTTCAGTCAGAAGTATAGCTTCTCTCCCCCGCCCCCCATGCAATTGTACAGACAGGGAGAAAAGAGGTGAGGCAGATTTAAGTAAGGTAAGACAGACCTGTGTTTTTATGTGAGAAGTCAGAAGCTCACTGCAAAATTTTCAGGTGGGGTCGTCTTACTTTTTTTTTTTTTTTTTTGCGGCAGGGAGGGTGCACACCTGGTTGTGCTCATGGCTTACTCCTGGCTCCATGCTCAGGGATCTTTCCTGGTGGTATAGTGCAAGAGATACAACCACGGTTGGCCACATGCAGGACAAATTCCTTAACTCCTCTCCTGTCTCTCAGGCTATAAGCAGTGTTTTGGTTGGAAAGGGACAGTGAGAAGGAAAGGAAATGCTGGAGGCAGAGAGAAGTCTTCTGATAGATAGCAGGAAGCTAGCATAGCACTTGGGGTGGAATGATCCTGGTTAGATGTAGCTAACCATATAGGCACTCCCCTGCCCTAGAGAAGGGCCTGGAGCATTACGTAAATGCTGAGGATTTCCTGAACAAGAGTGAAGGACTGACAGGAAGGAAAGCAAGTAGTGGTTTTGATTCCCTTTACTAGGAGGTAAGACAGGGGAAAGGGTTTTTCCCTGACTCTTCAAGTATCAGTTTAACAGGAAGATCTAATATATATATATATATATATATATATATATATATATATTGTGTATATATATATATATATATAGTGGACAATAATACCTCAGAAGTAGAGTAGACAGAAAAATCTTGCTTACTCTTTTGATCTCTAAAAAAAAAGGTGCTGGGGATTAAACATGCAAAGCATATGCTTTCCCATTGAGTCACAGTGCCCTATTCCCTTAAGAATTGGCTTATTCTAATAAAATAGGAAACTAATACCCAACAGAGGCAAGATTAGTACCAGGATGTTTGCTCTATGGCTTGGAGGCCAGCCACACATGCTAGGGGGAAAGGGAGCTCAGATAGAGAAGGGAGCATCAAATAAAGGGTGTTGAGAGGATCCTCCCAGGATGGGAGATGCATGCTGAAAATAGACTATAGACCCAACATGATTGCCACTCAATGCCTCTTTTGCAAACCACACCACCCAGAAGGAGAGAGAGAACAAAAGGGAATACACTGCCACAGAGGAAGGGTGGGATGGGGGGAAGGGGGGTGGGAGGGATACTGGGACCCGTGGTGGTGGAAAATAGGCACTGGTGGAGGGATGGGTACTTGATCATTGTATAACTGAAATCCAAGCACAAAAATTTGTAAGTCTACAACTGTACCACATGGTGTTTCACTAATAAAAATTAAAAAAAAGAAAAAAGAAAATGTCATGAGATAACGTAATAAAATGATCCCAATGAAATAATTGAAGTAGGACGTTATCACCTATGGACAAAATGCATGTTTATGAAGTATTTGAAGACTTCATTTCACCTAGCCTATTTTGTAACCTCTATATATTAAAGCTACTATAAAACAAGAATAAGAAATATAAATTCTCATATACAATACCAAATTATTTTTTTAACTAGTATATAGGGAAAATATCCCTCAGAAGTAGGCCAATTAGTTTCTTTCTCTCTGGATTTTTAATTACATAATATTAGGAAACCAAAAGATACATTATGGTTACATTATTAAAGATTATAAATTTACTCAAAATTTTAAAATAAGCAATTACTGTTCATTTTAAAACATTCATACCAATTTAACACTTATTGGGATTTTTACTTTTAAAGTTTGTGAATCTTACAGTGTTTTAATGTCTCTATTACCTATATGGTGAAAAATTAAAAACTATTTGAAGTTTAAAAAAGAAAGAATTGGCTTATTCTGGGGCTCGAGAGAAAAATGCAATAATGGGCTAAAGCACAAGCTTTGAGTGCAAGTATGCTGCCCCTCCCCCCCCAAAAAAAAACCCGAAACAAATAATCATCTTAATTCAGAAACCTAATCCAAGTTGCCAGCATTAAGTGGTTAAATTGGGTTTTATGTGCTCCTAAATTAGAAATTGGAGGGGTGGGGGATGGGGGTACGGTAGAGCTTCGTGCTTGGCTTGCATGAAGTTTGGTTTGGTGCTTGGCTTGCATGGGTTGATCCCTGACACCCTGTATGGTTCCCCAATCCTGCCATGTGTATTGATCCCAGAGCGCAGAGCCTGGAATAAGCCCTGAGCATAGCCAGCTGTGATTCAAAAACAGCAACAAAATTTCTGGTTTAAGGTAAAGTTAAAATATACACAAAAGTAGAATGACCCTCATGTAAATGGTTACAAATGTTTCCATCTCAAACACAGTCTTCCCCTACTTCTAATGTCAGGCACATTTCTGAGTACCTCAGTATGTAACTCTAAAGCATAAAAAGAGCACCGGTTCCACAAAGATAGGTTAAGTGTGTAATAAATCCCTAATTAGCTAGTGTCCACAGTTCAAATTCTCACTTTTCCTTTCAGCTGATTTTCTTGAATCATAGAGAGAATGACAAATTTGTGACTGTCCAAAAATTGGGATTTATAAAGTTTAGCATAGAATTTCGGGCCGGATCGATAGCACAGCAGGTAGGGCATTTGCCTTGCACATAGCTGACCCAGTTTTGAGTCCTCCGCTGCTATCTGAGAGTCAGGCAAGCTGCCAAGAGTATCCCACCCACATGGAAGTGGCTGGCAAGCTCCCCCGTGGCGTATTCTATATGCCAAGAACAGTAACAAAAAGTCCCACAATGGAGACTTTACTGGTGCCCACTCGAGCAATTCAATGAACAATTGGAGGACAGTACTACAGTGCTACAAGTATCAATGAACTGGGTTCTGGGGAGCATGTAAACTTGCTGCTCTTCCTTTGACTCTGGGTGAAAATGTCAAGTGACCATTATAGATCTAGAGTTTAAGACCAGGTTTCTAAGCAGGAAGTAGAAAAGCACATAAATGTGGGCCTCGGAAGTAATACAGTGGTACCATACATGTCTGGACTATGTGAAGACTTAGGATCTAAGGTGACTAGAAAGAATATTTGGAATGTAGTGTTGGGTCATTACTGGTGGCGTCACTGTCACTGTCATCCCATTGTTCATCAATTTTCTCGAGCGGGCCCCGTAACGACTCCATTTTGAGACTTTGTTGTTACTGTGTTTGGCATATTGAATAAATCACGGGTAGCTTTCCAGGCGTTGCTGTGAGAGCAAGATACTCTTGGTAGCTTGTCGGGCTCTCCGAGATTGGCAGAGGAATTGAACCGGGCTTAGTCAGGCCAGCTGCGCATAAGGCAAATGCCCTACCGCTGTGCTATCGCTCCAGCCCACTGGTGGTGGTAAGTGTTTTATTTTTAACTTATTTATTTTTAAATCCAGACACAGCTGCGCTCAGGGCTTACTTCTGGCTTATACTCAAGCGTGACTTCCGGACCCTTTGTGATGCTGGGGATCAAATCCCACTAGGCTGTAGTACTCCAGCACTGTCCTCCCGTTGTTCATAGATTTGCTCGAGCGGGCACCAGTAACATCTCACAACAAATCGTGAGACTTGCTGTTACTGTTTTTGGCATATCGAATATGTCACAGGTAGCTTGCCAGGCTTGCCGTGCGGGCCAGATACTCTCAGTAGCTTGCCAGGCTCTCCGAGAGAGGCGGAGGAATCAAACTCGGGTTGGCCATGTTGGCTGCATGCAAGGCGAACACGCTACCCGCTGTGCTATCACTCCAGCCATAATTGGCTGTATAAAAACAAATTCCTTACTATGTAGCTTAGTCCTGGATC